TCTCTAATTATTGCAGGTAAATATTTTTCCACCTACATAATGATACAGAATAAAATTTCATACATTTAATATAATAATATATTATAAATTTTAATTAATATATAATTAATTGGTATTGTACAACAGAAAAATATTCATAATTAATTTTACAAAACATATAAACAATAAAGTTTTCAGATTGCAGTGCTAAAAAAAACACAAACATCTTCAATAACAAGATGTTATATTTTTTTCTTCATAGTTTCCTATGATATCAATACACACATCTTTGATACAAAGCCAATATTCCAATATTTTTTTTAAGTCTATATTTAGAATGCTATTTAGAATGCTATTTAGACTTGTCATATTTCTTTGATTGTCGAAAATTTTTGAAAATTTATCTTGCTTTTGAGCTTTAAGAACAGTATGCTTGCTTTAAGAACAGTATGAAATCCGAAAGAGCTAGTTCCAGCAAATAAGATATGTGATTAATCTCAACCTTTTTCTTGGCCAAGAAAATTACATGACAATATCGCTGCGCGATATCGCCGAAAAGAATCATCGTTTTTACCAACATTTGAATTGATTTCATATTATTCCAAAAACTTAAAAATATTATGAAAGATAAATATTTTCAAGCTATCGAAGATATTAAATGAAATGTGAAAAATACTTTGAATAGCATTTCAACAGATTTAAAAGAATTAAGATTTTGTATCAAAGACATGTGTATATGAATGAACTATTTTAAAAGATAAAATATAACAATTTATTATCTGAAATGTCTGTTTTTTATTATTGCAATCCGGGAATTTTATTATCAGATCATATAAGCTGTTTATTTTAAATATAAGGAAAATCCTTTTATATATATAAATTCATATATATAAATTCATTATATATATAAATTCATTAAATGAATTTATATATATAAATTCATTTAATATTAAATATCTACATAGAATATATATATAAGACAGTTAAACAACCTACATTTTCTATGTATGTAATATCTATATCTTGCAGCTTCTGTACATCCGTTGTAGAAGGCGGTAAGCCCTCGAAAATCGATTCAAAGCTTATTCGAGCTGATCGTTTCTTAGGTCTCGTGAATGTTCTCGTATCGATGCATTTTTTGTTATCTAAATATACATATTAAATTTAATAGCAATAGCAAATAATACTTGGATTATGAGAGTGTAACAACATTATAAACAAAGCTGAGAATATTTAACAGATAAATTAATATTATCATGTACTATATGTATTAATATTATTTTGTACTTCGAACATCCAATTCCGGTTCTGTCTTCAGCCAGGCATATATATCCTGAATTGTAGATCCAGTTGAGCATTGCAGAGGCATATACAACCTAAGAAAAAACAAATCTTAAATTAACGATTAAATCGAAATTAATTTAGTCAAGTTAATTTATTAACGTTGAAATGCAACAAAAAAGAATATTTAATATTTCATTTTATTAGAAAATAAAAATATATTATCTATTTTCTCAAAATTAATTAAGTGAAAGATGCACAGAGCAAGACACAAGTGCAGTTAGTAAGACGCAAATTGAATCTATTCTTATTTAAAAAATATATAATCATAATCATAGTTTGTTATACATTTTCTAGACACAAAAATATTCATAATTAATTTTACAAAACATATAAACATTAAAGTTTCCAGATTGCAGTGCTAAAAAAAACACAAACATCTTCAATAACAAGATGTTATATTTTTTTCTTCATAGTCTCCTATGATATCAATATACATATCTTTGATACAAAGCTTCCAATATTTTTTTAAGTCTATATTTAGAATGCTATTTAGAATGCTATTTAGAGTACTTGTCATATTTCTTTGTCATCAAAAATTTTTGAAAATTTATCTTGCTTTTGAGCTTTAAGAACAGTATGAAATCCGAAAGAGCACAAATAAATCTAATTTGCGCTCTACTAATTACACTTAACTAATTTGTTCTCTCCCTTAATAAATTTAAAAATCAGAATTGTGTGTAAAATTTATGAGTAAAATATAATCGAGACACTACCATATCTCCTAATATATTCTACATTTACATAATATAGTATAAATTATATACTCTATTGGAGAAAATTCGACCATTTTTACACTAAATTAAACTACTACACATTAAAGGCTGTTTTACATAAAGTATCTAAATGCAGGAGCATAATGTAAATAACTTTAACAATGAAATAACATGTATTATTCTGTAACATGTCAATATTGGGTATTCAATTTAAGTATCATATGCTTTTACATTTAATTTTATTAATTTTATAAGTAGCTCTTTTAATATATACTGATCTAGTATATAATACAAGTACCTAAATTCGTCATATTTCATGTAATTTGCATAAATAATGTATGGATCATCAAAGCTTATGTTTTTTGTCATTACACTGGACTACATAAAGCTTTTATCTCTTTATATATTTTTATTTACCAATATTAGAGTCAGATTATATTAACAATCATAAAACCTAATTACTTCTTTTCTATATTATATCATAAAATTTCAAATAATTTAGATTACATATTTATATTACTATATTGTCTATATGAAAAAGATTTGTGTAAATTTAGTGTAAACAATACATAAATATTCTATATGAAATGTAATCTTAAAATATACAACCCTGGTAAAAGTTATCTTCTACATTTCCAAGTTATTTTAGAAACTTATGCCGCAACTATACTATAATATATAGACAATTCTTAAATATGTATAATTAAAATTGACTCAAGAGCAATATATATTAAAGAAAAATGCAGAAATCTATCATTTAAATGAAACTTCATCTACAAACAACACATGCTCCCAATTCAAAACGTACTGTTATTTATTATGTTCATTATTCTTATTGTTTTTATTCGTATCCCGAGTAGAAAAATGGAGCAGGGGCGGAATTAAAGACAAATATGGTGAGCATATTCCAAGGAGGTGCGAGCCGATTAAAGGGTCATCGACGGGCGAGCGACACCCACCAAACGTCGTCGTCGTCATCGAAATGCAGGTCCAATAAGTCGATGTAGTCGACTTCATCGATGAGGTAGCCATCGTGTGTGTGTTCCACTCGCGTAACAGTCCCGTTCGGATCCGTGATGCCCGCTGACATATTTTTCGGCCGAGTGTTATCGCGTCGCACGTATACGTACACACATATTTCACCGTTCCCGGGTCGCCCCCCCGAAAACGCGCGCGTGTAAAAATAGATCAGCGAGAGAGAACAAGAGAGAAGGAAAGAAAGACAGAGAGAAAGGGGGAAAGTGGATTTAACTCGCGACGAGTAGGAATGACCGTGACAACGGTGACGATTCTTGTTGCGCACCGGAAGGGAAAAAAATTATATGATCACGGTCACCTGAGTCTCGGATCTCGTCGCAAGACATAACCACAGCGAACGCGAATTGACACGAACACATAAGAATGCTACGTTGCGCCGAGACTGCGTTATTTTCGTGCCAACGTCACGACGCACCCGGCGCGAGATTGATATAGACGTCACACCGGACGGCGAATTTGAATTTCGGAATACTTGGGCTGCATTTTCATGCTGACGCTCGACGCTCGATTCGAGAATCAAACAGGTCACTTGATCAAAATTGACGAATACTATGCATCAGTCAAATACCGAGCGTCGAGCGACAAAGTACATTTACGAGCCGCTCTAACCGGCCGTTTCAGCGACAAAAAAGATCACGTAGTCAAAATTGACAAATATCAAGTGTCAATTTTGATCAATTATGATCGTTTTGAATGACTCATGAAAATGTAGCGTCAGAACGAAAAAACAGTCTTAGATTGCGTTTCCATCAAGCGACTGCTTCTTCCGATCAATGGTGACGTCAGAAACGGCTTTACATATCTTTTGCCTATATATGGTGCGTTTAGGAAAACGCTATTAGCGCTACTCTGTCATTCTATCTTCGTTGTTTATTAGATATAAAACAAAGATAAAATGTCACAAATAACGCTAATAGCGTCTCCCCGAACGCATCAATAATCTTTAACAAAAAAAAAATGTCTTCTTGAAATTAGAAATTTTAAATATAAAATATAAAAAGAATTGCAAAAAAATATTTCCTAATATTTATGATTTTTTTCGTATTTCTCAATTTAAGTCCGATGTTTCTAATAAGTCTATTCATGTTGATTTTGGTATTCAGAATCTTTACTTCCTTCTCTTTTCAATGCAGAAAAAATTTTTGAGAATTTCAAGCAACGCGAATAAATTTAATGCTTTAAATATTGTCGATTTTTTAATGCTACATTTTGATATTTTTAATTCTTAATCTCTGTAACATTTTATTCTTTTTTTTCCTTCAAGCTTTGTAGCTAAATCTTTATCTTTCCTTCTTCCTTCGTGTCTTCATCTTTCCTTCTTTTCTCGTAAAGACAATTTCCAATTTCAAATCTTTTTTCCAAATAAGTTAAATAAACTTAATAATTCTATTCGTGTTAATAAAATAACACAAATATTTGTATTATAATTATAAGACAGATTAATTGATCATCAATTTGAGTTTAATTGAAATTGCTCTAATTTAGTTGTGCTTATTTCAGTTATTGAGCGCAACGGAACACATCAGACTTGTTCTTTTTAGCCGAATTTTTGCATTCAATTCATCTTTTTTCCTTCAGGAGGAAAGAAGAAGAAGAAAGATACACTGATGCAAAAGTGTAGCCAAAAAGAATCTATCGTATAGAGGCTAATCGACTCCCGCTTTTCGAGTTTTGAGTACTTGAACAGATAATCGAGAGATCGCGATTGATCGCGATTCTCAACCGCCGTTCATCCCTCTTCGTATCGCGCATTTACCCGCGACTCAACCGTCATTGGAGAAGCAGCAGGCAGCAGCGACCGGTTCGTTGTCGTCCGTTGCAGTCCGTTGTTCGTTTCCTGATTTCGTCAGGTTTGGTTTTCAACTATCTCACACGCGGATCCCGACTTTGTGATACAAAGGTAGGACTCGTTAATCGGGAATACGGAATCTGGCCGCGACGTCGCGGAGACAGAAATTATTCGCATCGACATACCTCGCCGTGACGTTGTTCCTCGCGCGCGCACTTTGTCCCCCACGTTTCGTCCTCCTTCACGTCCGTCGTCCCACGTCCGGCGTACGTCGGACGACTTCGTTGCCCTCATGCCACGTGCACGTTCCCACCGAGCCATTCTCGGCCGAATTCTCCTGTAGAACCGAACATCGCGAGACGCGAATCTTGGTCCTTAGTTACCTCGTCCTCTCAATGTCATTCAACGTGTCGTCTCGCACCTCGCCGACGCTCTCGCCACGCGCATTCAATCTCGTTTCGTGCTCTCGTTAGCCCTCATCTTGCAACCGAAAGTCTGGAATAATCTTCCATTCGACTCTCAAGTTCACGCGCAGACCGATTCACTTGGTCGAGGGGTTCATAAAAATTCGAGCATGTAAAGCCAGCGGCACACAATGCACATTTTTTTGCTTGCAGTGAATTACTGGAAATTATATATTCTCAACAATTCTAGTAATTTTCTTTAATGCAAGTGAGAAGGATATGCGTCGTGTGCCGCTCGCTTAATTTTTAGCACGAAATCAACGTGACTTGAGGCTATGGCTGTTTGAATGCTCCTTTTATCCCATTACGTATGTCTTGTGTGATCCCGTAAATCTGGCACGTTATTTTACACAAGCATTATGTCACATTATACATTTTTGTGTCTGAGAAATTTAATCGATTTCCCAAGTTTATTGCTTAGAACAATACCTTGTAGCCAAGTTGTTGAAACATTTTTTTTACCAAGTGTTTTGTCCCTTAAGTAATATGCAATCATTTGTATTTATTAGGAATCTAAATCAAGATCTTATTGAGTTGTTTCATGTGATAGTAAAAAAATTTATGTTACATCAGGCTTGTACTTTTTGGTTTTGGATCAGTTTATCTTTTTCTTCTTTCCTCTGGAAGAAAAAAGGAAGAAAGATGAATTGTGCAAAAGTTTAGCTAAAAAGAACAGGTTTCTAGAGATTTCTCCTGTTATTCATTGTAATAATTGAGCTACTTACATGCTTTTTTACCTACTTATTCCTGAATTATGTTGTAAAAACAAATTATTAGAGATTTCAAAATTGCTTGCCTTTTCATTTATACATATTTAGCAATGTATATTAGCGTAAATGTTAGCACTGCTTTAGTGATCGAGTCACGTGGAGTTATTATGTATTGTATAATAGTGTACAGATATACAAATACATGTAATTCTCAGTCTACGTAAAATTCAAGCAGATTGAAGTTTGATGTTACCAAGTTTACGGCTTTAAAAATCAAATTCACAGCTGTGAATGCTAAGAAACTTTTAGATTAGAATAATAGATAATTGGCCAAAGGAAGTGAATTGATATAGCGACACATTTGAATTGTAGTAATATGACAACCGATCCGGAACGCGCCGCCAATGCTAGCGGTACAGAATCCGTTGAAGACGAAGACGATAACCATCGCAAAATTTTACGTAGACCTGATGTGTTAGCTGCTCTTCGAGATGGTATTACTGCAGCAGGATTAGAGGTATTGCAATATTATGTTCAGTCGGTCAACTATATACAAATATATATATATATATA